ACACTTATTCTTTTGAGGATTATAGTAACACCCTATTGTAATTTAGATCTAGATTTGATTTATATTAATCGGTTGTTAGTTATAGTCTATTCCTGATGTAAACTCTCTTAGTATTTCCCCTTTGTGGGGTTATTATTGACCCAACTTTTATTCTGCTTAATTTGATGGTTTAAATTATCTCCTATTTTAGAGGTGTTATTAGTTCGTATCAGATCTCTAGTTTAAGTGAACTAGGTATGAACTTAAGATGCCTAGACTTAAGCTGAAACTTTAAACAAAGATTTGTGAGATGTGGGTAGAACTTAAGATAGGAGAGCTATGCAATCCACAAAAATGAACTAATTGTGAGTTGTAATGATGGTGACGAGGATTCTTATGTATAATGTATTCAAAATTTTATGTAGCAAATGCTATTTTGAGTATGATGTTATGTGAGTATGTTTGACCTTGCTATTGTTGCAATGAGGATGAATGTAATGGTACATTTCATTTGTTAATCTTGTAGTAGCTTAATCTCTTATTCTTATTCCCTTATTTGGCAGTCTAAAATGGTTATCACGCGGAGTAGACCGCCGACTCAAGAAGACGGTCAAGAGATGAGTGTGACGGCTCCGGGTTAGCCAGGGGGAGCCGATAATGCATAAGTCCCTCCTATTCCGCCCATGTTGAGCGGCAGGGTTGAGCATGTGTCGAGGGTACACTTGGATACTTCTAATCCGGTCGTTCAAGAACTAGACCCCCAATCTATGATGTTGGCGAGTGTCATGCCATTGGTAAACTCGGCCATGGAGAAACAACATGAGGATGAAGTTGTTAGAGTATAAAGACGCCAGTAATCAAAGGCATGAGATGGTCGCTGAGAATGTCGTCAGGGGTTCTGGAGGAGTCGGCAATGTTATTGGCACCACATAGCAGGTAGTTGTCTGTGTCAGACTCTTTTTTTTTTGTTAATGAATCTTTTTCTTCAATACCTTTTTTCTTTCCTATTTAATTTAAATTAAAAGAGTGAATGAAATATATGTTTTATTCCTACTGAATATCACTCTTTATTCATTCTGAATATTATCTAAAATTCATGATGAATGCTATATCATCCATTGAACATATATACTTACTTTATTCAATATGAATAAATGGTGATATTCTAAAAATGATCATCACTTCCTCTCCAACATGAATATCACCCTTTGTTCATATTGAATATTATATGAAATTAGTGGTGGATGTTATATCAACCATATATTTTTATTTATTCATTTTGAATAAAAGTTGATATTCATGATTGAAGTGATATTCATACTGAATATCACCCTTTTATTCATACTGAATATCAACCTTTTATTCATTCGGATTATTATCTAAAATTGATGATAGATGCTATATCATCCATCAACTATATATATTTGTTTTATTCATCGTGAATAAGAAGCACGACGTTGCAAAATGATCATCACTTTCTTGTTCATGCTCATGCTCAATANTTGCAAAATGATCATCACTTTCTTGTTCATGCTCATGCTCAATAGGGGTGATATTTGTACATTTTGGTTGTGCCGTTTGTCTTCATTTTACTTGATAATTCTTTTTCTCCGCCTTTTCTCTTTTTTTTTATTTAATACAAATTCAAAGAATGAATAAATTTATATTATCACGAAAATGAAATTATCAGTTATCAAGCTAGACATGCATTTTGAATAAAAGTCGTTTTCATCATGAACATCACTCTCCCTTAGAGGCTAAATTGGAAGAGATATTAATGCTCAACATCACCATTTATTCAAACTGAATAATACATGAAATACATGATGGACTTCATAGATATCGTTATTCATCATTCTGAAAAAAATTGGTATTTGAACATCATGATCAATTTCATGTTAATATTGAACAGAAAGTGATATTCATAATGAATATAACCCTCTATTCATGCTAAATAAAATATTAAAAAACTGATGATGTACAGTATATCATCCATGAACGATATATCTTTGCTTTAATGATGTTGAATAAAAAGTTCATATTCATTGTTAATATGAAGTCTTGTTGGTTTGTATGTCGATTATGAATAATTTGTGATATATTTTGTTTTTTTATTTAGATTTTTCATGAATAATGCTTCTAATCATCATTTTAAAATATGCGTGTGCTTAGATTATATTATTAAATGCAAAAACTCTATTCGATTACTAATGCATGCTTCTATTCATGTTGCTACTGTTAATGACATATATCTATCTATTCATTAAAGATAATTAAGTCAAAGAATATATTTTCTCATGATTTTAAGTCATAAATAGAAGTGTGCCAGTAAAATCTTTTGTTGTCTTCATTTTTTTTTTCTGATCTAGACTTCTTAGGGGTGTTTGGGATTGCTTATTTGAAACAACTTATGTTTTTCTATAAAAGCACTTATCAACTTATTATAAGTCAGAAGGATTTAACTTCTTCAAAAACTCCTTATTACCGATTTGGCACAGGTATAAGTTATTTATCCAAATACTCAAAAGTGTTTATTATTGGTGTCACACCAGAATAAGTCAATAAATTGTTTTTATAAGCAATCTCAAACATCCAGTCTCAAATTTTCTTGTTTCTTCTGTCAATATCTTAAGGATTTTCTTTTGTGCTAATAAAATTACTGAATGAAGTGTAATGCACTCTTTTTTTTAATCAATCAAAAACTTCACGTAGAAAAGGGATTTTCTACTTAAAGTCTCCCTTTTTAGATAAACTTTCCATTTTTTTTTACGTAAAATCACATTTTAATTTTTTTTCCATGTAAATAAATTTTATAGAAAAAATCAATTTTTTATGTAAAGTTTTTATTTTTATAAACTTTGGTTATTTGAGGAAAACGATTTGTAAGATTGCTAAAAAAATAAAATTCCTTTAATAAATTGAAGTGTAAATTTCCTTATAATCAAGTGGTGAATATGCTTTATCCAATTATTGGTATCCCTGTCCCCGAAACTGATAACTAAAACCATCCCTGTAATCACCACGATCCCTGTGGGGGATCTTATCGGGTCCCCGCGGTTTTCCTGATCCTCGTTGAGGAACCCGTTAAGGGTAAAAATCATATTTTTCCTATTCACCGTTGGTTATAACTGAACTCGAACCCGATCTAAAAAAAAATTACAATATGTTAATTTTCGCAACTAAAAGTATATTACAATTTTTTTTTAAGATGAAAGTTTAAATGTCTCAAACATAATCGAACAAATTACAAACAATGTATTAAGTTACAATATATAACTAAGGGTTAAATGCATGAAATAGCAACATACTTTCATAAAATTTCTTATTATAGCATTCTACTTTTGTTTTTCTTTATTACAGCAATGTACTTTCAAATTATTTTTTATTAAGGCATTGWACTTTAAAAAATCTACCCATAATAGCAATAGGTAACCTGTTACCTTTTAAACCGGTTAACCCTTTGACTTTTTTGTTTGTGTGACTTGAATGAGGTGATGTGGATGCCACATCATTTTGATGACTTAACTAAAATTAAAATAAAAATTTATTTTAAATTATTATTAGTGATTTTCATTTTTCATTGCTATGATCTAAAAAATCATTTATTTATTTTTTATTTTTTCTTATTAAGTTGCATTCAAATTAAATATTATTGGAGTAAAATATTTATTAAATAAATATGAAATACCATTTTCGAGATATATTTTGTTTGTAATAAAGGTAATTTTTTTTATTTTATGTTGTTCAAATAAATACATATCTTTTAAAGTTCTCTTTAAAATATTAACGAAATAAATTGTTATCTACATTTTTTTAATATTGTTATATTAATAAATAATTCAAAAAAGTCTAATTAATTTAATATATTTATACGTCAAGTAAAAAGTTTTTGAACAAATATAATATATTATTTAAAAGATAATATTTTTTGGTAAAAAAATGAACAATTCTTATTTTTTTTTCTTCAAAAAACACATATTTTAAAAATRTTAGCRAGATAAGTTGTGTTCTACTAGTTTTATTGATATTGGTATATTAATGAATAATTTAGAATTTTTTTAATTCATTTAATACATTTATTGAATAACATGTAAAATATTTAAATATTAAAATTAAAAATACAGTGTTTAATAAGAACTAGTAGATGCTATAATTAAATAATTTTGAAAGTACAATGATGTAGTAAGAAAGTCACATCACTATAGTACATGTGGACAGCCTACGTGGACAATGAGGTGGCATGAAAACCTAGTATAATGGGTAAATTTAAAACAAAAGGTTACCTAATGCTATAATGGGTAAATTTTTCAAAGTACAATGTCCTAATAAAAAATAGTTTGAAAGTCCATTGTTGTAATAAGAAAAACTGAAAGTACAATGCTATAATAAAGAAATTTATGAAAGTAGATTGCTATTTTGTACATTTTGCCCTAAAACTAAACAGAAATTCAAACATCATACAACTAAAATCACGATTTCATGATTAGACAAATAAACTAGATTTTTTCGTGAACCTTATTTGGATTGTTGAGGTAAATTGAATAAAAATCTTTTGAATTTTAATGTTACTATTTTTTTTTAATGATATTATATATATATATATATATATATAAATTAAAATTAATATATATATACACGTATTGGGCCGGGCCGGACGGTGATCACCATCCCCGCCCCCGTTAAAATTCCCGTCCCGTTCCCAATAAGATATCCCTGAACTCAGTCCAAAAATTTCGATTTTCATTGTCGGTTTTGGATTTTTTTTTATATCCCTAATTATAATCAAGTGGTGAATATGCTTTATTCGGGAATCCATCTTTGTAATATATCGTGTTTATTTTTATTTTTAGAGATATAAAAAATCTTTTATTTGGGACCACACAGTTCAGAAGGGCAAGACCGTAAATTGCAATTAACAGAAAAGAAAAGGAAATTGGTTGCCGCATATTAAGATGTTGAATATCAGAGCAGTCATCCTTTCTTCAATATATAAATACCAGTTCAACTTCAACCCATTCATACTTCATCTCTCTCTCTCTCCACCATTTATTCCTTCTCTCTAAAAATATTTTCACAAGCAACATCTCTTTTCGTTAGATCCACAAACAACAGATTTCTACTGTTTGTTTCAGTTGCACACGCATCAGAATGAAGAAACCAGGATTCTTTGCAGCGTCCATGGCTGCCGCTTCGGCTACTACTGCCATGTCTGTCTCCAATTCTAAAAATCACGAGGTAAGCGAAGAAATCGTCATGAACTGGTTAGAGAATCGAATTAATTACGTGTTTTCTTCTTTTAGATCTCCGATTTGTGAAATATTTAAATGATTGATAGTTTCCGGTTTGAATTCATGTTTAGGATCACGTAGGATCGGCGAAAAACGGTGATGATTCGTCTCCTGAGAAAGCGAATCGTCGCTTGGAGAAATTCGCGCCGAGGTTTGATGGATTGAGGTTTATTGAAACTTTAGTAACTGCTCATCGATAAGAAGGTTATGAGATCTCTCCAATTTTTTCGGTTTTTTCCTTCCTGTTCATGTCTGATTTGGAGGACGAAGCTGTTGCCATGGCGCCGAAGGCTATTTGGTATTATTATTATTATTATTACTATTATTACTAACATAACAAATCTAAAGTTACTATCGATTGATTGTGGTTCATAAATTCTGATATAGAATTTGCATCTGCAGTTTCTTGTGAGTTTTCTTATTCTTATTGATTCAATTAAAGTAATATGTTCACATGTCTACATCTTGTTTGCAAATCGTCTCTCGGAACCAATAATTTATTGCCAGCAACGCACGCTAACAGTTCCATTCTTTGTTGTGATTCACAAATTTACAGCCGGACTTTCCTTGTTGTCATGAGTCACGGGTGTATATTTAATTAATTAATATCGTGTACTTTTCTATTTAATTATTTTGTCAATTTAAAAATAAATGAAAAACATTTAAACGCATGTCAACATCAATGCACGTTAAAAGAAAAGGTAAAAGAAGGGAAAGGGTGGACCTAAAAAACATTGCTATTTGTATCAATTTTAATATTAAAATCACGTCGATTCATGATTTGAAAATTTATAAAGTGAATCTTTGATGTCTATGTGTGTGAGATGGTGGTGAAATTTGAAATCTAAATCAATAACACTGTTTGTTTTTGTAAACTAATAAACGTCTGAATTTGTTTAAATTATCTATTTTATCCATTAAAAATTATAATGTTGCATTTGTAGATAAATTTATACAATTTCACATATTTATTCATCATTATTGTGAAATTTAAATATAAGTTATATTTAAATGAAAATATGTCATTAACGGTATTTATCATATTAAAATACATAAACCGAGAGACATGAAGATTGATTTGGTAAGTAGGGGTGTTCATGGATTGGGTTGATCGAGATGAAGACATTTGAACAACTCAACTCAACCCAAAGCTTGCGGTTTGAAAAATCTTAACCCAACCCAACCCAAACCGTACGGGTTGGTCGGATTGATACTTTAGTACATTAAAATATTATTTTAATCTTGAATATATTATTTTTCTATTCATAATTTCTTTTTCATTATCAACTATTTAATACAACTTATCCATACTTTTTATGTATATCACATTCAGTTAATTTTTTCAATTTACATATATATGTTCACAGTTATTGAACATATATACGAATGAATTATATAGAGATGTGAATAAATTGAAAATATGTGTATTTGAAAAGCGTACGCGATAGTGTGATTGTCTAATCTACATATTAATAGAAATTTAACAATCATATTAAATCCAAGAAATAAAAGTATATTGGTTCATCGGGTTAGGTTGAGTTCAAATAATAGTAACCCAATGCATACGGTTTGAAAATTTTACAACTCGATTAGACATAGCATTGTTTCAGGTTGAGTTACTTCGTGTTGGGTTGAGTTGGGTTGATCGGATTGGTCGGTGATTGATTAAGATTAATTGATTGAGAAACATTGTTGTTAAAGGTTTGAAGAACAATAAGAAGTTGATTTACCTTTTACCAAACAAAAGAACAATAAAACATAAAGTTTCTCTGAAAATTTGAAAAAAACAAACAATATAAATAGTCTTACCTCTTAACTTATTAAGATTGTCATATGTGTGTCTATATATATATGATATCATATTCAACACTCGTCAAGAACGACCTTTATTGAGATGATTTAGTGAAGATGTCTTATGTCTATAGTGTGAATTCAAACTTATTACAATAAAACTCCAAATTATATATATGGAAAACATTGATGCTACAACTTAACAAATGGACATAAAAAGTTGTTGTAAATGTTTTAAATACCAATCACTTTTAAGAAAATATAATTTTAATATTTATCCAATAATTAGCAACTCACTTCTATCATATTACAATTTAAAAAACTTTGCATAGACAAAATACTTATATATTTACCTAATAATTGACAACTCACTTCTATCATATTACAATTTAAAAAACTTTGGATATATACAAAATACTTACATACATATACTGTTTTTAAGAGAAGATAATACTGAGGTTTGCCGAATAACTTGCAACCCATCGCTAATAAATTTACGATTTAACAACTTTCACAAATTAAAAAACTTGCATACACAAAATACTTACATATATATATATATAGTTTTAAAAAAGTATAATTCTAATGCTTGTTCGACAATTTGCAATCAATTTCTCACGTATTACAATATATAACAATTTCAAAATTTTAAAAACTTTGCATATACAAAATACCTACATACATATATACAAATTGAAGAAAGTATAATCATAACATTTGCCTAAAAATTAGCAACCTATTTCTAACATGTTATAATTTAACAACTTGTACAAGTTTTACAAAAGAAAATTTACGTACCCCTCGTAAAGCCGTTGCTAAAAGATCCTAGTCCCTCGTAAAGCTGTCGCTAAAAGTCCCTCCGTGATCAGTAGCTAAAAGCCTTCCTTGCTAAATATACCCCTCGCTAAACAAAACTGTCGCTAATCCATCGCTGGCAGATTTTTGTTGCTAATCTGTCGCTAAAAGTTTTCTGTCGCTAATTCGTCACTGAAAGTATTTTGTTTAATCCGTCGCTAAAATTTTCAATTGCTAATCTATCGCTGCAAGTTTTCCATCGCAAAAACACCGGTCGCTGATCCGTCGCTTATAGCACTACTTACGAGCTTTTGATCGACAGACTATCAACGACGGAATAGGCCTTTAGCGACAGATTTTTCCGTTGCTAATACTCCTCATTTTTGTAGTGAAAACTTTGCATATACAAATGAAAGTGATATAACTATAACATTTGTCCAACAATTAACAGCTTGTTTCTCAATTATTACAATTTAGCAACTTTCGATTGAATACATCTACCTGCATTCGTACATGTATAACACGTACTTACATATAAATACATAAACATATACACATATATACACAAATGCATACATACATATATACTTACACATATGTACATAGAGGATCAAACGAGAATATGGTCAAAATAAGAGAACAAGATAATAACCAAATCACATGTGATTTTACAAGCGATTGTGGAACACGGTCAACGCAAGGTAGAGGTTTAAACAAGAACACCTTCATTTTACGAAAACGCAAGAGCATCCATATCACATGTGATAATACACGTGATGGATGTGGTGGTGTGCGGATGACTTGGCTCGCGATCTAGATCGTGCCAAAGGTCGTTTGCTTCTTTGATTTAGTATCACGTGTGATAAATTATAGTGTCACATTAAGAGCACTCTTATTACATGTGATAATACACATGATGGAGCCTAATAGTATGCGGGTGACTTGCTCCGCAACCTAGGTCACGTCAAAAGTCGTATGTATCTCTGATTTAGTATCACATGTGTATCATATGTGATGGACTATAGTATCACATGTGATTGACTATAGTAAAATGGTGTTCTCACATTTTCATAAAATGAAGGTATTCTCGTTTAAACCCTCCCCCTACACACACACAAATATATATATACACATACATACATACTGAAAAAAAAACAAAATTTTTTTTATCGTAAGGAGGAGACTGAAACGGAGGAGAGGAGATTGAGACGGGAAGACAAGATCAATCCATGAGGAGATAAGATGGAAGATAAAATGAGCTAGAGAGATGAAATCAACCCCCTTGATCCCCACTACATGGTGCAATTTAGGAATCTTGGGTTCAAGTTAGCTTACATGGGTGTGCACTCCACACTCCTAGCTGAGGATTTAGCTTAACTATCAACCCCATATTCTCTTATGAATCTAATTACATAAAATGAACCGATGAATTCACTAAAATCATCAGCATATGTTGATTTGCAATTGTTACCGAACAACTATAACCACTTCATTTTGAACTACAACATGCATGATCTTAAGAGGTCCCTTTTGGAATTACTCAATATGTTACAAATAACTAAGTAATAAAATTTCAAAAACAAGTTTGCCATTCTCATGGTTCGCAAAGACAAGAAGAAGGAAAAATAAAGTCTGCAACCAACCCTGTTTCTAAATCTTTAAAGCCTAAAGGAACCATTGAAAAGAAACCGAAGATAGTTGTACGTAAGGAGGGCTAATGCTTTCACTAAATAATCCCGAGCATAGGAGTAGGTGATAGCATCAAATTTTCATGTTCTACTATGTGTTTATAAGCTCAAAATCCCCATTTTTATATTTTTGTCTACTTATGTTTTTATAAGCCTAATCCAAGTTTTATGTTGATCAGTGCAAGAAACAGACGAGAAAATGCGAGAAAAAATGGTTGTTGTGCTTAAGAGGGTTGTACAAAATAAGTGGTCAAAGAAAGGCAAAATGCAGGAAACATGCTACCCTTCCATTCCAGGGTAAAATGCAAGAGTCTCATAATGGGGTATGAAGTTACGGTACATGAAATGCTACCCTGACATAATAGGATCGCATGCAAGGGTCACATATTTTTCCTGGAGGGACTAATTTTGCCAATTTTCGAATCTTGAGTAGTTTTTCCTTCTTCTTTGTATAAATTGACTTGGAAACCTCCATCTGAGGGAGATCTGACCTAGGAAAATTTTCTAGAGTGAAGTAGCGGATTTTGGAAGCTTTTCGATCATTTTCTTCTTTTTTAATTCCGTAATTAACTAGTTTCTTCATTCACAATAGTGTAGCCTTTGATATTGATGCATTTGGTTTATAGATTCCTATGTAAAGATTTTAGAACAAGTTTATTTAATTTGCTTGAATTCTGTATGAATGGATTTATTAATTAACCTGATCAATTGATTGGTACTCATTTGATGAAAAGTCATTTAAAACCCTGAATCCGTAATTCTTTGGGGATTTTGATAAAGTGACAAATGGTATGTTCGATTTCAATTAGGTTCTCGAACCTATGAATTCTTGCAATCTAATCTTTAGTAAGCCGAGCTGTGAGCTTATTGCTTTAAATCGGTGAATTTCTTAATTCGTTAATGCTAATCATATCTGGGGATTTAAGAGCTTGTTTAAACCCTCATTTGGGGGGTAAGATTTAACCAAAGAGCTTGTTTTTGTTAATGTCTATCTAAGAGAAAATCGAGGTTGTCAGAGCTTGTTGACAACTATAGTCGGTTTAGACTTGTCGACATCTCTTATACCATATGAATCGATGATAAACATTTTGCATCATATCATGGTAAAGCTATTGTTGGGATTTTTAATTTTATTGCTCTTTAATTTTATTGCTTTTAGTTGTACGTTTATTTTAATTGGTGAAAAA